TCGGGTGGCTGTCAACCCCCCGGCCCATGGAGGCCCCCCCTGAGGGGCCCCCCCCAGCCGACCCGCCGGTGTTGCTAGGGTAGAAAATTCTCCGACAATCGTGCACGCGGCGTGCGCACACCTAATTGGAATCGATATGAGCAAGCACTCAAAGAAGAAGGTGTGTTCCTTGCCTTTTCCTTATATCCACAAAGTTAATGTCTACACTCAGAGGCAGTATAACCCTCCCCCCACTCCATGGATTGTTTTTCTGGTGTGCTGCTGCCCTGTTGATCTCACATCCCTCTGGGAACATCGTATGTAGATGCGTAGCCATTGTGTTGGCTTACAGTGCTTAATTTACATGCTGACAGACAGGTAAATAAACATCTTCTGTCTGACAGAAAACCTGTTTGTCAACGCTGCATATTTTCAGTATACATACATAACTCCTTACCTAGAATCTGTACATACCTTTTACAACAATATTAACGACCAGTGTGATCCTGGCTTTCATGTGAGACCTCATGTAACATTCTTTGGTGAACCAGAATGGACATACCAAAATCAGGGCATTCCTATACTCCTTTGCCAGTTGGCATAGAGAGGTTCATGGGTCTCACCTTCCCTCCCGGGGTCACCCCTTGAATTCCATTTTTTCTCATCTCCAGCTCCTCCTCTGCCTTTCCTTATTCCATCCCCTGAGGGGAAGGATGGTTCACTCAACTGAACGGAGGTGAATGAATCTACCCTCCTTTCTTTCTGTCTCCTCCTGGTAGCACCAATGGCTTCTTTTGGCAGCAGGAGAAAACTGCAACTAAAATATTTTCTGTCCAAACTACGCTGAATTCAAATGGGGGCATAGGTGTGGGAGGTGGATAGACCTGTGAAAGCAAATAGAAATTTGGGACCATCCTTGGAAAAATGAGGGCAGGGTTGGTGCCATTGTGTGGGCAACAAAAGAGCAGGGCCCCATATATTCTGCAGTCCCATGGCTGTACCGTTTACTAAACTATCTACTACCTCATAATTTTGTAACAGATTCTAAACTTTTCTTTTTAAGAAAATGTTTTCTCTTTATGGTTGCAAAGAAATTTTTTCCTGTTTTCTTCCAGGCTCTGAGGGCAGCTTGAAACAATAGCTGTGAACTGTCCCACTTATTTCAATGGTGTGTTAAATTTGAAATTTAATGATCGCTATTTCAGTGTCAACATTGCTAATTAGTTCACTGCTAACCCTTTAGTGAAAAATCTGCCTAACAAGCTTATCCATTGTTGCTGGGAAAATTCTGTTTTATCTGTGAATTTTCAGTTAAGGATGCTCCATCTCTGACAGGTGTCACAGTGGGGTGTTCTTCATTTCCATGGCAACTGAAAGCAGACCAAACCTTTGCTGTGAACCTGAGCTTAGAACCACCGCTCAGAAAGATGGCTCCAGAACAATAGCTTTCAAAGCTGAAAAATATGAAGTGTATAAAAGTGCTATTTAACTCAAACCATTTGCAGCAGAGCCTTGACACAAAATTTAGAGATTTCCTGGAGAAACACTCTCTTCCTTTTCAAACTACTTAACAAGTGAGGCGTAGCCAGGAAAAAAACCTGGACATAATACAATCCTCTGAAGGAGGTTCAGAATTTCTGGCGTGGAGAGTCCTAGAAAGAAAAGCAGTATAGCCAACTTTTGCAATTTTTCCCCCCCACAAGAGACAGGATTTTGGAGGGTTTGCACAATGACCTGAGAAGCTCCAGAGTCCAGTCCCCTCGAGAAGTTCAGCCCTGCCAGAAGCCAGCTGAGTCTCCCCCCATCCACTCTGTTTTCAAAGGAGGGGATTGGGGAGGAGGGAGCAAAAAGCCCAGCACCCCAGCACAGCTCCCCCTCAGCCTCACCCCTGTGAGAAACACAGACACTGACAGAATAGTACCTCTGCATCTCCCCTCTGCAGCACCCAGTCTGGGAAGGAGAAGAGGCGGGTGAAGAGCCCCTGGAGCTGTCCGTCAGCCTGGGAAGGGAGAGAAGGGACTGTGCTGCAGCACCTCCCCCGCCCCCCAGCTGTGGGAGAGGGAGGTGAAGAAAACTAGGAGGAGCAGAGGTAAGGTTGGAGTGGGCAGAACTGTGGGTTGGGAGTTGATGGGGGGGGGGCTGAACTGAGTGGTGCAACCTGGACTGTGGGACTGCTGAGCCCTCCAAACCCACCAGCCTGGGCTGCCTCTCACCCGGTGTTGCTGATGTCAAGCTGCAAGCCTCTGACAGGCACTGCCCTCACACAGACATCCACAGGCCAGGACACAACCAAGTTACATGAATGATCTCCCAGCCACTCATAAACTATCAATAGGGAGGCTCCAGTCAATTCCCCCCAGCTCTCTAGTCTTGCACCCCAGAACTGTATCGTCTTGCACTGGTCAGAAGCCTGGCCAGTGTAAATTCATTACCTAGTTCACCACCCTGTCAAAGGAAAGTGGACATGCACCAGCCTTCGTAACCTCAGCAGATTTCCCAGGCACTTTAGACAAACTCACCGGTAAGGATAAAATATTAAAATAAGTTTATGAACTGCAGAAAGATCGATTTTAAGTGATTATAAGTGGTAGGCATAAAGGTCAGAAATAGTTACCTTAAGGAAATAAAAAATAAACATGCATTCTAAATCCTAAACTTTTAGACTAAGCAAGAGCTGAGTCAAACAGCTTTTCTCACCCCAACAGATGGCACAAGCAGCTTCCAGTTCTTCAATACACAGATTGGACCCTTCTCCAGCCTGGGACCAAACTCCCTCAGTTCAAAGTCTTTTTCTTCCAGACCTTCTTCCAGATGTTGAGATGGGGGCGGGGGGAGAGGCGAAGTGATGATGTCACTGTCTGTCTTTTTACACCTTCTTCCAGCTGCTAGAAAGATCCTTGCTGTGACGTGGGGGTCAGGCTGTCCCCATTGCTCAAGCAGGTTTCAGAGTAGCAGTCATGTTAGTCTGTATCTGCAAAAAGAACAGGAGTAGTTGTGGCACCTTAGAGACTAACAAATTTATTTGAGCATAAGCTTTCAAGAAAGGTGCCACAAGTACTCCTGTTCTTATTGCTCAAGCAGTCTCCACTGCGTAAGTGCTTTCTCCAAGAAGTCTCTGGGATAGTCAGGGCCGGCTCTACGCACCAGCAAACTAAGCACGTGCTTGGGGTGGCACATTTTCAGGGGCGGCATTCCGAACATTCTTTTTTTTTTTTTTTTTTT